TTGTGGTTGTTGTGGTCGTCGTCGTCGTCGTCGTCGTCGTCGTGGTTGTTGTTGTTGTTGTGGTCGTCGTCGTCGTCGTCGTCGTCGTCGTCGTCAATGAGCCGATGTGCACGGCGTTCAGCATGGCAACTTGTCAATAAAAAAGGTTGCAGGACTGATTGCAAGTTTGTCGGAAATGCATACAATCTTAAGCAAGCAGAAGCCTTCAGTACGCTTTGGTTCAGACCTCAACTCGCGCGAACCACGAGCCGAGGACCCTCGGACTCACCACGATCGAGCGGATCTTCATGACTCTTGGTTCCTGTTAAGTTGCACGTTGCGTATTTGTGCCGGCTTCATGCCCCGTGCAGAAACCTACATTGTCAGCTCCGGCCTAAACACTCGACAATGCTCAACTCAACCTTAAAGCTCAGACTTAAATCCTAAGCCCTTAACCCGAGTCTAAACCCTGGATCTTAACCTCACAGCCTATACCTCAAGCCGCAAGCCCTCAGCCTGAGGACTTTGGATGACGATCGCAGCTGCAGGTTGGCGCAGGCCTGGTTCCAGCTCGACAGAGCAGTGTTATTTGCAGGAATACGAATATGTATGTAGTAGATAGGCGGATAGGTAGGTAGATGGATAGGTAGATAGATGGATAGTCAGTTAGATAGGTAGATCGGTAGATAGATAGATAGGTACATAAATAGATGGATAGGCTGATAGATAGATAGATAGATAGATAGATAGACAGAGAGATAGATGGATAGATAGATAGATGTGATGGATAGGTGGACATATGCTATAGTTTTTTAAATTTCTATTTTCGTTTACATCCTGCGAAATAAGCTGCAACGTTTGATGAGTTGTACTTTTCAAAAGCTTCATACTGCTGTAGAAGGGTTTGGCTTTACAAAGGGTCTAACAAGTCTTCTTGGTACGAAGGCTGTTTACAGGTTCTATGGCGGTTCATGTCGGGCTCATAGGTGTTGTTGTATAAGCTTCTTGGTCGCATGTTACATGGGGTTGATCGTTTATGTGTTATGTGGTCTTGTGGGAGCTTAGTTGCAGGCTCCAACACTCCCTGACATGACGAGGTCTGGTTCTGGTTCATTCTGCTGGTCACGGTGGCGAACCTCGTCCGTGTCTTGAATGGGATGACTGCTCTGCTAATTGTGGTGAGTATGATGAGGACTAGGAGTGCTGAGTACTGGTAGTAGTAGCAGCAGAGTAGCCGCAGCAGCAGCAGCAGCAGCAGCAGCAGAGGCAGAGGCAGTGGCAGTAGCAGCAGCAGCAGCAGCAGCAGTGGCAGTGGCAGTCGCAGTAGCAGAAGCAGAGGCAGAGGCAGAGGCAGAAGCAGAAGCAGCAGCAACAGCAGCAGCAGCGGCAGCAGCAGCAGCAGCAGCAGCAGGGTTCCCCCTTTAGAGTGAAACCAAGCCTTTGTAAGACAGTTTTTCGTGACACATGCTTGTTCCAACAGTTTTTGCTTTCATTTTTCAGAAAGCTCATATATTAAGCATTTCGTTTACTTTTGTGTTGCCTAAGAGCCGGACTGCAGCCACGCGCTTTGGATTATACATTTTTAAAGCCTTGTTTAGACAAGACAACAAACCAGGAATCAGGATCAGATTTGGGTGTTCTTTGTTGTGTTGTTTGGGGCTGTTGGTTCCACCTGTGTTCTGCGAATGGGAGCCGCAAAGCCGAAAATTCCGACATTTCCGCCCTACGTAGACGCCTTTGAACCATGAAAAACGAAGCTGTCCTTTGTTCGGCGACCTCCCCAGAGATGCGCAGGGTAGTGGTCGTAGTTGTCGTCGCAGTAGTAGGAGCAGCAGTCGTGGCGGAGGCGGAGGAGGAGCAGTCGCAGCAGCTGGATAGGAGTAGGAAGCAGCAGCATGACAGACTGTGTAACCTCTTTTGTGACTATGGTGTGATGTGCCCGTAGCATCCGACTCTAATTGTAACTGGGCCCCTGTAAGCCTACTGAATTCCCAAAACCCCCCGTATGCAAAACCGACTCATCCGCGTAATGCCCGATTCCAGTTTTGCTGAACAGCCACTGCTCTACCTAGGAACCCCTATTTCGATTTTTCGCTCTCCCAGGCAGCCCCAAGCCCCTAAACCCAACGCTGCCTCACACCCTGAACGCACACCAAAACGCCCTGCACCGAACGAGGTATGGTGAAGCCGCATTATGTGCAGGGAATCTGCGACATGGCAGACCTCGGCGACTGTACAAACTCCTTCCAGGCGAAGGGTCTGGCTTAATGTTTTCTAGGTCGGGGTCTAGGGTTTAGGGTTGGGACAAGGTGTTTTAGGGGTCGGATCCTGGAATTACGGCTGTCCTGAACGCTTAGAGTTTTCGGGGAGTGGGGATGGGTTAGGAATTCAAGCAAATTGGCTCGGACATGGATGTGGCTTCAGGAAGTAGGGTTTGGGCGGTTGGGCTTGTTTGAGGCTTACTGCAGCAAGATTTTCCCAGCTGATCCAGCCGAGACTGAGCACTACTGTCGAAGAGAGCTCGCCACACTACACCGTAAACCCTAAACCCCGGAGCCCTAAGCCCTGAAGCCTAAACCCCAAACCCCTAAACCCCCAAAAAGCGGCTCCGGGCATGTAACGATCTGCACTGGCTGTCATAGCAGGACTGCCCCTGCGCACGCTCAGGCCTAGGATCCCTGGAGGTATTGTGGCCTTCTAAGGGGGGGGCCCATAGCGCAGAATAAGGTTTGATTCATGCATGTACCTTATACCCCTTAACGGTTAACGGTTAGAGGGACTTAATATGACTGAAGGTGCATTCCTTAAGCAATGGAGTACTTGGCGTTCTGGGACGCTGATCCTATATAGTCGTATCCGTATCATAAAGGACCCCAAATAAGATCGCCCCATGCTGCGTCAGGAAGGGCTGAAGGCGAGAATCAAGAACTCTTGGCTGGCAAAGCTCTGAATTCAATCCCAAACCCTGTAGAGCCTCAGCCGCAAAGCCTCGAACCGTCCTAAGCCCTAAACATCCCTAAGCCCTACGGCCCTATACTTTAAAGCCCTGCCCAAAGCCCAAAACCCCCCAATGGCAGGTGATGTGCCTCCTGGTCTTCAGCTTTGACTATCTTGTCCGACTGGCTTGTGCCCCCTTTGTTAGACTTGAGCTCCTGAGTCCGCAGCCTGGCTTTTTCTGGGGCAGCTAGGGGTTCTTTCAAGGGTTTGGGGTTTGGGGTCTGTGGCTGTTCGGGGCTCTTTGGAGGGTGCCTAAAAGGGTTCTTGAAGGGTTGCATGGGGGTGTTGGGGCTCACCTACGGTCTAGCTTTGGCCCCGACTCGCTCGGGGGACCCTGTCGGATTGCCACCTTCACACTTCCGCTCGCAGTGAAACGAGGCAGGTGCAGGTGGTTACTCTCGGGTTCCGTTGTGCTGGCGTTTGCTGACATTTGGTTATCTTTTTTCGGTGCTCACCGAAAGGATTGCGACCATGTGTTTTGTTGTTTTTGGACAATCCCGTGCCCGATGTGAGGCCAAAGGCCGCTCAGGCGAAGCACAGGCTTTTAAGATCTCTTGAGTTGTGATTCCGCAACTGAGTTCGTATTGTGACGAGGCAAATGGAGTACTTCAACCTCGACGACTTCGGCAGGCGACCCTTCACCCGAAAAAGCCGCGTCATGGAGTTCGTGAAAAAGTCGGACAACCTCGTGGACCTTGTGGCAATCATGTCCCCTGCCTTCTTAGGGAATTATAGGCCATTCTTCCTGGAGAAGGTGCGCCTTAGACAACACCCAAAACAGGTACCGGGTCGCATTTGCTGCATGTCTGCCGAAGGCCCTACTGGGTCAATATCCTCGTGGGCCAGTTCTTGCCGTCCTCGTCCTTCTTGCGGATCATCCGGTTAGCCAGGCTCTTCCGCATTGCAAAGTCGGCTCGATACTTGGACATGCTGCAGGTCCTCGCAATGACTCTTGGGCGTTAAAGAAGGGACATTCTCCCGTTCTTACTGATCTTACCGTGGTTTGTCTCATAGGTTCTCTGCTCTTGGCTTTTTGTCGTCGAGTATAACAGTACACTTTACCTTTTCGGGATAGTTTCATCCCCAACCCCCGAAGCCCAAGCCCTAAGCCCAAAACTGAAACCGAAAACCGTATAGCCCAAACCCGAAATCGTATTCTGGACCGTTATAAATTACCTTCATCGCTTTACGTTGCCTGTCAGTGCCAAACGGCCGAAGAGCCCAGGACCTTGTGGAAGAGCATCGGCATCTGGGTCCTTGTTCAGGAGCTGAACCTGTAGGTACCATACACACATGTGTATGTGTAAGTGTAAGTGTAAGTGTAAGTGTAAGTGTATGTGTAAGTGTAAGTGTAAGTGTAAGTGTATGTGTATGTATATGTATATGTGTATGTGTATGTGTATGTGTATGTGTATGTGTATGTGTGTGCAGACAATCAAAGGTATGCTGTCCTTTCTATTTGCACCTAGTATCGTTAAGACTGCTGTTAGTCAGTCGTCATTGGTTTAAAGTGTCAGAAGGGCCATTACCATCATCATGATCACCACTACTACTACTACTACTACTACTGCTGCTGCTGCTGCTGCTACTACCACCATTACTTCTAACTATTTTCTACAGCAGCAACAACAACTACTACTAGTACTACTGCTACTGCTACTACTTCTGCGTTTTCTAGTGCTACTGTTACTACGACTACCACTACCACAACTACTACGACTACTACTACGACGACGACTACTACTACTGCTGCCACTGCTACTGCTACTGCGACTGCTACTGCTACTAAATACTACTACGACCACGACTCGTATTTAATGAGTATGGCATCCTAACCCAACCCCTGCACCCTAATTCCTAAACTCTAAGCCCCCGGTAGATCCCTTGAGCACCCCAGCCCTGAAGGCTAAACCCAAAACCCTAAACTAAACGCCGAAGCAGCTCTTAACCCTCAACAAGAGCTGAGGCATGGTGGCCATCCTCTTCGTGCTCATTCAGCTCGTGGCTCTCATAGCCGGTTGCCTGCTTCAGGAGTTCGAAGAGAACAACGGAAGCTCGGCCCGACAAGGTGTTTCTGGGATTTTTGTCGGTTTTCACGCGTGTTTGGGGTGAGCTAAGCCCTGTGATACGCCATATTTTGGATTTGGGTTTGTAGGTTGAAGAGCTTTTTTTCACTGCTGAGCCTGGGTTTGTTTAGGGGAGACAAACCGCTCCCATACCAATATTAGAGTTGATAATTGGGCCTTATTGGAGAATCACGTCGGATTCTACGTAGGGATTATCTTGTCATCCCTCCACATCCCTCTGAGGGTCCTTGCCACTCTTTCACGTCCGTTTGTGTTTGTCTTTAATGTGGACAGATCTGTGCGACGTCCTGTGGTCTGCGCTGCATCATCCAGCACAGATCCATGCGGAACCTGCTAGGACTTGCCTTACTCTAGGTGAACAGGAACTCCTATGTGGGAGTCGCCGGAAAAACGGGGGTCTCCAAGATGGGGGCGAAAGAGTTTGGTTTGAAGGCTACACCCAAAGCAAGATCCCGAATTCCCCAAATCCGAAGCTGGATGACCCAACTTTTCGGAGGCTTTGGCAGGTCTGTCGGGTGTCAGAGGGCATGGGAGTGGCCCACCAGTGGCCTTCAGGAGGATACGGTGACTATGATTCTGATGCATTATCGTAGACGACAGTATATCATAGTATGTTGAAGTACGTGATGATACTGAGGGTGTCAGTGTCAGGGCTTGGGGTGCACAGGGTTGGGGTTTAGGGTTGGAGGGCTGAGGGGTATAGGGCGAGAATCTACAAGTATCCCTAACATGAGCATGCGCGCTTGTCGTTTGCACTCGTGTTACTGGCACCTCGTGCAGCAGAAGAAGAAAATAAGCCCAGAACGCCCACATCTTGGAGACTAAACCCCAAGCCCAATCCAAACCCAAACCCGAAATCCCAAAAATCCTAAACCTCGAATCCCAAACCCTACGAAGCCCAATCAAGCCTTCTAGAGGTTTAAACTCCTGTACCACCCCCCCCCCCC